TGGATAATGGGTACCAAAATATAGTTGGGGGGTAGTTCTAATGTTCTGTAGCACAATAGAATCATCATTGTGGTATATACCATTAATTATACACTTCAAAAATAACTAGAGAAGAGCTTAAAATAATATTTGAGGAGATAGAATGCTAATTACCCTGATTTGGTTATTATACTGTTTACATGTGTCTAATTATAATATTGTACTACATAAATAAGTACAGATATTATACATCAGTTGCAAAATAAAAAATGTCTTACAAAGAAAGCACATATATGAAAGAATTTAGCATAGTACTAGGCACATAATGGGTAACTGGCCCATATCACATTTGTGCCTCTAGAGTTACAGGGAAGCATTTCTGGGTTGACTTGAATGTTAGAAGTTCATTTCAAAAAAATCTTTCACCATTGTCGTCATGGGATATGGGTTAATTTAGTAGGTGTTTTCATTTCTGTCCCTAAGGGGCACAGAGAGCCCCATGTATTAATTACTAGTTAGACTTTTTTTGGGTTTCAGTGACCTCCTGAGATAGCTTCTGGAGAGGATGTAATGATGATCTCATAGGTTTTTTTCCACAGCCAGTGCCTTTAACTCCCTAAAGAATCTTCAGTGTCTTTGTCTGAATTCCGTAAATAAAGCTCTCTAATAACCATTAAAGGCAAGAGCTTCATTGTTTGTATTTTTTTTTCATTTTAAACTTAACTATGTATATTATGTGTATATACAAAATATCATAAAAAGTAAAACAATACAAAAATGAGTAGTCTGCATTCAACCTGATGTATATGGCTTTATCTTGTTCACCATGCTCACACAAGTGTATGTAAACTTGATGTACATATATTTTTCCCTTTCTTACTAAAGTGGAGTTATATATTTTTAATACCTGCATACATAAAATTATTTACTTAACAATATAATGCATCACTCTATGTCAGTAGCTATAAATTAGAAGTAAATTATGTGAATTTACTTTTGATTATGATTGTTCTCTTATAGGTGGATAGGTCCTTCCCATCTTTTTCTCCTTCCCTTTTTTCCTCCTTTTCCCCTTTTCTTCCCTCCCTTTCTTTTTTTGCACTAACAATGCTGCATTGCTTTTATACATATGTCCTTTAGTGTTTTTATGTATTCTATGAACATTCTCAAAAGTAGATTGTTGGTTTAAAAGGTCTATTTTTATTTTAATAAATGTTGACACATTTTTAAAACACTAGCAATTTACATTACCATCAGCAACATTTTGAATGTGCATGTATGTGCTGCCTCCTTCCCTGTGACTTCAGCTTTTTTTCTCTGGATGTTCATAAACTTTTTTAAAAATTTTGAAACCAGGAAATTCTTACTAGGTTGTATCTCCCTGTTGATTCTTTTGGTCATTGTTTCGCCTGGGACACTGCACCCTTTCTACAAATTCATCTTTTATTTCTTCAGTATTTTCTTAATTATATCTTTAAATATTTGTTCTGTTCCATTTCTTTGGTTCTGTTCTTCAGGAACCAGTTATGTAGATGTTGATTTTCCTTTATCTGACTTCCATAGCTGCCATTTTCCTTTTGCTCACTGTTCTTTGTCTTGCCCTCTAAATTTCTTACCACATTTTCAGACTCCTCTTTGTTGTTTTTTCCAATGTGAGCTTTATTTATTTGATGGTTTTTTATTTCTCAGTTTAAAAAGCACATTTTGCCACATGTGAGCAACTACCATATTGGACATTACAGCTTTAGAAGAGGATTAAAGGCTTGAAGTTGGTGACTTGACTCATTCCCTTATTCTTCAGAGACCCAATTCCCCAAAGCATCTTTAAGGAAATCAGGTTTTAAAACAATTTGAAAACCACCGTGATAGCAAAACCACATCATCATGGGTGAGTTTCATGTAGGAGTGACCAGGGAGTCTAACCTCTGGCTGCAAAGTTTGGGGATTCTGTACCTGAAATTTTATAAAGGTACTTGGGGGATCTTAACGCAGACTAGGGTTATGCTAAACTTATCAATTAAATTAAAAGAACTGTTGGAAGAAAGCCTTTTTATAGCACGGAAACAGTCCCTGGATCGTGGATCCAGTTGTTCTAGAAGAGGAGCTGTGGCTGATACTAGATCCATTCCAGTGGCAGAAATGGGAGCTTAGATGGTCATAGTTTCCTGGTTCTGATCCCAGGCTTTCCAATTAGGATTCACATGATGACATGGGGAACAGCATGTACTCACTGGAGAATCCCACTATATATCCTGTCTGGAAGGTGTATTCACTTAAATAAGTTGCCATCATGATTAGAAATTAGTTCCTTGCCAAATGCCCAGCTCAATTCTAATTTCAGAAACACAGACTACAGGAGATTTCTGACAGCTGCAACATTAAGGGAGGTACTCAGGACCTACTGATTCCACCATGGCACTGGAACCCCTAAGAACCCAACTGACCCAAGTAAAGACAGTCCTGAGGTAAATTCCTTAAGATATGAGGGGTCTAAGGAACATTTCTGGAAAGACAAGAAGGATTAAAGTGTGATACAGATTGGCAGTACAAAATGAACTTCCTAATTGGGCTGGGGTTGAGGCTCAGTGACAGAGCACTTGCTTCGCATATGTGAGTCACTGGGTTCAATCCTCAGCACCACATAAAAATAAATAAACAAGATATTGTGCCCATGAATAATGAAAAATAAACATTTTTTTAAAAAAGAATGAACTTCTTAATAGTGCTGGTTCACTTCAAAAGGAATTGTTAATTCCCTACATCAAGTTACATTGGCTTTCTGCTATTGCATTATAGTGCCACCTCTAGTATATAAATTGAAAATCTAGCTTCTTAAGTTTTTGGTTTCTAGTCATTTGCATTAAAGCAATTTCGATTGGGGCCTGGTAGGTTCTATAATTTGTATTCTATTTTACATTTAAGGAACCAAATTCCTGGGATATCTAAGGGATGTATGCTGGTAGCCCATAACCCAAAAATCTGCCTCTAAATTTTTTGAGTTTGGGCTGCTTAGAACTTGATTCTCACTCCATCTTCCGTCTTTCATCCACACCTGTGGGTGGTCCATGGGAATCAGGAATCCAAAATCTTTGCTCCTACCTCCAGGGCAGAATAAACCAGGTTTTTCTTTCCTAGTATATAGTGTAGTCACCAATGTTATTGTTAAACCATTTTGTCAAGAGTAATTATGTAGCCAGGCAATATGGCACATGCCTGTAATCCCAGGGACTAGGGAAGCTGAGACAGGAGAATGGTGAGTTCAAAGACAGTCAAGGTGGGCTGGGGATGTGGCTCAAGCGGTAGCGCGCTCGCCTGGCATGCGTGCGGCCCGGGTTCATCCTCAGCACCACATACAAACAAAGATGTTGTGTCCACCGAAAACTAAAAAAAAATAAATAAATATTAAAATTCTCTCTCTCTCTCTCTCCCTCTCTCTTTAAAAAAAAAAAAAAAGACAGTCAAGGTAATTTAGTTATTTAAATTACTATAACTTGCACCAAATATGTAAGAATATATTATCTTTTCAGCTTTAATATAGATGTGATTTCTGATAGACTTTACAAATACTAAAAACAGTTTCCAGGTCCTCTTCATTTTTTTAAGGATCTTTGGGAATTTGGAAGAAATAATGGATTTTAAGTTACCACTGAGATGGAAGGAAATCCAGTGTCTTCTCAGCTGGGTGCAGTGGTATACACCTGTAATTCCAATGACTCGGGCTGAGGCAGGAGGATCAAAATGTCAAGGCCAGCCTGGGCAATTTAGTGAAAGCCTCAGAAACTTGGCAATACCCTGTCTCAAAGAATAAAAAGGACTGGGGATGTAGCTCAGTGAAAAAGTATCCCTGGGTTCAGTCCCCAGTATCAAAAAATAATAAAATTTAAAAATAAAAATTCAATTACTTCTCAAAAATAATTAAGTTACAAGTCTTGATTATTATATACTTTTTTTACAAAAAGCTCTATACAGTTTTTAAAAGATGTTAAAACTTTTTTTTTCATTTAATTTTTTTGTACCAGGGACTGAACCCAGGAGCATTTAACCACTGAGCCACATCCTCAGCTCTTTTTTTTCTTTTTTTTTTTTTTTTGAATTTTTTAATATTTATTTTTTAGTTCTCGGCGGACACAACATCTTTGTTTGTATGTGGTGCTGAGGATCGAACCCGGGCCGCACGCATGCCAGGCGAGCGCGCTACCGCTTGAGCCACATCCCTAGCCCCTCTTTTTTTTCTTGGAGACAGGGGTCTAAGGCCCTAAGTTGCATAGGGCCTCCCTAAATTGCTGAGGCCAGTTTTGAACTCATAATCCTCCCGCCTCAGCCTCCTGAGTTGCTGGGATTTACAGGCATGAACTACTGCACCCAGCACATTTTTGCACTGAGAACATTATCTTAAAATATAAGGTAAGACTACAAAAGCAGCATGACAGATTTCCTCTGTTACTTGAAAACTGGATTAAGAGGCAACCTCCAGATTTCAGAAACACTGGAAATATTATAATTTTTGTTTATAATTAGGATAACTGCAATAAATAAGGAGTCAGAGGATCTGGGTTCTAGTTGCCATTTTGTGTGATATGATCTTCAGTAATTCTCCCAACTTCTGGATATCAGAAACCTCATCACAGAGCAAATGTTTAAATCAGTCATCCTGAATATCCTTTCCAGCTATATTATATTATAATACCGTGAAATCAGAATAACAAGTTTCAGGCTGTTTGAAGTCAGGAATTTTAGAACCTGTATTCAAGGTACAGTGCTCTTAAAAATTTAATTTTGTGTGTGTGTGGGTGTGTGCCAGGGATTCAACTCAGTGGCACTTGACCACTGGTCCACATTTCCAGCCCTATTTTGTATTTTAGAGACAGGATCACACTGAATTGCTTAGCACCTTTTGCTGAGGCTGGCTTTGAACTCTTGATCTTCCTGCCTTAGCCTCCTGAGCTGCTGGGATTACAGGTGTGTGCCACCACATCCAGCATAAATTTCTACTTTTTGAGTCTTTACACACACACACACACACACACACACACACAATTTTTTTGGTTCTAATTAGTTATACATGATAATAGAATGCATTCTGACACATCATATATAAATGGAGTATAACTTCTCATTCTTCTGGTTGTACATGATGTAGGATCACACCAGTCATACACATCAAATCACATCCCCATATATGCACATGGTATTTATTCTACTATGCTTGCTTTCTTTCTTTTTTGGTACTGGGGATTGAACTCAGGGCCACTTGATCACTGAGCCACATCTCCAGCCCTAGTTTGTATTTTATTTAGAGACAGGGTCTCACTGAGTTGCTTAGCACCTCGCTTTTGCTGAGGCTGGCTTTGAACTTGAGATTCTCCTGCCTCAGCCTCCCGAGCTGCTGGGATTACAGGCGTGTGCCACCACACGTGGCCATTCTACTATCTTTTCTACTCCCATATCCCTCTTCTCCCTTCACTGCCCTCTGCCTAATCCAAAGTACTTCTAGTCTTCCCTAGCTACTCCCCTTATTGTGAATTAGCATCTACATCAGAGAAAACATTCAGCCTTTGGGTTTTTGGAATTGGCTTATTTCGCTTAGCATGATATTCACCAGCTCCATCCATTTACTGGCATGTGCCATAATTTTATTCTTCTTCAAGGATAATATTCCATTGTGCATATATCCCATAATTTCTTTATCCATTCATCTGTTGAAGGGCACCTAGGCTGGTTCCATAGTTTAGCTATTGTGAGCTAAGCTGCTATAAACATCGATGTGGCTGTATCACTGTAGTATGCTGAGTGGGATAACTGGGTCAAATGGTGGTTTCATTGTAAATTTTCTGAGGAATCTTCATATTGCTTTCCATTGGGGTTGCACCAATTTGCAGTCCCACCAGCAATGTATGAGTATACATTGTTCCCCACATTCTCACCTCCATTTTTGTGTATGTGTGAATTTAAATATATTTTTCCTATTAGCCGCCTCTTCATTGATAGAAATTAAAAAGTCCCTCAAGGATGTACTTTTCATTTTTTTGATTTTATTTTTTTTCGGCTTCCTTTTTTAATTTCTCCAAGATTTCTTCTGCAGTTGTAGAGGCCAAAAGCTTCACCACCTTTTCACGAGATTTACCACCCTGAATCAAAAGAAAGCACAATAAACATTCTAATGCTTTAAGGGACAACAGACTTCCGTTGTACCCATCACAGTCATATCTTCATGGGGACATTATAGATGGCTTATGTACACTTTCTCCTGACCACGTCGGGTCCAACCAAAAACTATCTCTTTGCTTCCACCTGACTATAGATTTTTACAACTCAACAAGGTTTTTAGTTTTATACCTTAATTTCTAAAATGATAAAAGTTTGGCATCAGAATTTCAAAATGATGAATTACAATATTCTAGTTTCAAGTAACTCTTTTGTTTAAAGATGCAAATAATTTTAAAATACCAAAGTAAATATTGCATTTTATAGAAACTTTGCATAATCTTAAATAAAAACAAGTTGCTGGGCTGGGGTTGTGGGTCAGCGGTACAGTACTTGCCTAGCATGTGTGAAGCACTGGGTTCTTCAGCAACATATAAAATAGATAAATAAATAAAATAAGGGCAATGTGTCCATCTACAACTTAAAAAGTCCAAAGAGCCACTACAATATCCAAGTGCTATGATTTCACTATCACTTAAAACAATTTTTAAAAAGATATGTTCTCAAGCACATCTTTTATTTATTTATTGGTGGGGGGGTATTGGGATTGACTCAGGGGCACTCAACCCCTAAGCCACATCCCCTGCCCTATTTTGTATTTTATTTAGAGACAGGGTCTCACCAAGTTGCTTAGCACCTCGCTTTTGCTGAGACTGGCTTTGAACTCACAATCCTCCTGCCTTAGACTCCCAAGCCACTCAAGCACATCTTTTAAAGATAAAATCTGAACAGGAATTTATCTAGATGGGCAGAATTTGTACAGGTAGAAAAGTGGGGAGACCCTTTCAGGCAAATGTCCAAACATGAGTACTGGCAGAAATTAAGAAATGACCTGCCACAGCAGTTTATTTATCAAGGTGCAGTTTATTTATCAAGGATGTTGAATGCCACCAGATATGATCTATATTACACAGCATTGAAAATCAAGTAAAACTTCAAGATATAAGTATGGCTGGGTCCTACACTTACATACTCAATTTCAAGATTCTGCACTCTAAATTCTATGTTTAAGGTAATGCCCAGGAACCTGTATTGAGAATCATTCCTCAGTGATTTTAAAGTACAAAACCATGTTATTAATGACTACATATGAATCCACTAACTTCCTGATGAGCTTCTTCTAGTGAACAAAGACAACATGGAGGATTAGAAATACCTGATGAACTCTAATGGAGATGACAACAAGAAATCATTTTACATTTTTTTGGTGTGGTGATGTCTTAAAGAAGAATTGCAAGATTACCTCACAATGGGTTTGGGAAGGAAGAAAATGCTAGAAATGGTGGCAACTAAGGAATATAAGACAGTATAGACAACTCTGAATAAGGACTGAGGTAGCAGAAACACAGGAAACTACACAGGAAGAATTCAGATTTTTGTAATTAAATGAATATGTGAGTTAAAAACAAACTGGTTTTCCAAATAATGTGAAGAAGCAAATTAATATTTTATCATGATTATGTGGCAATAATCAAAGATGTTTGAAAAAGAGAGAGACCTACCTTATCCAAAACCACATCACTCCTCCTGAGTTCTAAAACCTTGGAAAGATACCGACAGAGCTCAGCATTAGCCTCTCCATCTGACGGTGGTGCTGCAATAGCTACATTTACGGCTTCAGTTGTCAAATCTGGAATGAAATGGTATGTACTGTATCCTTGAGTTGCTCTTTTTCTTCCTAAAGTGAGGCAGTTTTATAAAAGAGCTTGCATTTGCCTGCCACATACTAGATTTTTGATTAATAACTGTTGGATTGGGTTTAATCCCCAGCAACAAAACAAAAAAAACTGTTGAACTAATCTTACTTCAAGGAACATAAACATGATACATATGCAACTACCATTATAAAATAAATCCAGAAAAGAAAATAAATATTTATCTATCCTGCTGACCAAGATGGACTTAAGAGTCCTGGAGAGCATCCTGGATTTAGGCAACTAGAAGCTGCACTTGGCCTAATAGAAAGAGCTCCAGGCAGGGAATTAAATTAGCTGAGCTTCAGCCCCAATAAGGTAACTAAGGAAGTGCATGAGCAAGGCAGCTTGCTGGATTGTAAAGGGTTGTTTGGGTTTCCACATCAGGAAAAGGAGAACAGTGGGATAGGTTCATCTCTCATGTGAGATGCATCTTAAGTGCTTTGAAAATTTGATAATGTCTATTTAACATTTACATAGTATTTACTACCCACCAATTTGAAGCACACATGAATATACTTGAAGGGCTCTACACATATTAACCTAAGCCTCATAATGACTTTATAAAGAAGATAGTAACACCATTATTATCTCCAATTTACAAGTGAGGAATTTGGAATCAAGTAATGTGCCCTATAGCTCTGCACGCACTATTATTAAGAAAGGGAAGTATTTACTCAAAGCAGTTTACAAATGAGCTTGATCCTGCATATGGGGTTGCTCAGGCATTTCCACCCACTTACACCCAATGTGAACAACATGGCCAGAGAATCCACAAGAATGAGGTCATAAAACAACCCTCCTCCCATCCTGTCACCAATTCTCAGATGCTCAGTTTTTTACCTACAATGCGAAAATCAAGACATGTCTTATAGTAGATGGAAAAGAAAGTGTTTATGTGAATTTTTGTCTTACTAAGGTACATAAAATACTTGTGTACTATAGAAATGATACCATCTTAGATTGATACAATAAATGCTGGCCAAGGGGGTGTACCCAACAGAGACAAGCTAACATGGCCATTAGTACAAATAAGGCCTATCTAGCACATCAATTTGAGGTCTTATTTTCAAAATATAAATATAATTTGGTATACAAAGCTTTAGAAGTAGAAAAGATTTTCAAGACAATTCAGATAAATGGTTTTTAAACTTTTATCCTTTAAAATCCTTCATTTTTTCCAATTGTCTCTGAAATCCCAATATTTAAAACAAAAGTAAACACATTTACAGAAGCCAAGTAACTGGCTGGCCTTTCTCCTTCACCAGAAGAGATTCCTGAGGCATTTCTAGGATTTGAGGGAATAGCTTGAAAGTCTCTTTGTCCAACTATCTAATCTGAAAAATGATAAAACTGGGCCTAGAAATGTTTTATATTGTTTTGACTTAAAAACAATTTCATGTAGGAGTTGATGGGGGTTTTAGATCTCAGATTTTCTCCTATTCCTTAGGTCAGTGATCACTAAACGAGACAGAAATGCCTTTCTTTCTCTGGCCATTGTATTTTCAGTTTAGAGATAGGAAAAATTAAGAATAATCTAAGGCTGGGGTTGTGGCTCACTGGTGGAGTGTTTGCCTAACATGTGAGACACTGGATTTGAGTCTGAGCACCACATAAAAATAAATAAAATAAAGGTATTGTATTCACCCACAACTAAAAAAATATATATATATTAAAAAAGAATAATCTAGGCTATACATAAGTATCTTTCTTAAAATACCACATTTTTACCAATATATCTTTAGAAAGGAAAAGACAATAGTTTTCATCAAACTGGGTATAATTTAAATATCATGTATTCAATTTCAAATACCTTTACATGAGAATCTAGAATTTTAACATGGAGAAAGCTCTAAATGCAAATGTAAAAATATACTCAACTGTCATAGGATCAACTGTCAGCTAAATGAGGCAAAGGGAAGGTGGAAGGGACACTTGATTCACACAAGAATCCCAACCCATTGTTCAGGTGTACCTGTTACAGCATTTTGTTTGGAGCCAGGTTTGGCATGGATGGATATGGTAACACAACCTTTAGGATCGACTGCCACAGGACCTAAGGGAGGAAGTGGTCTCTCTGCTTCCTTGCTTTGGCTTTTACTCTAAAATAAGAAACATAATTGTACAGGTTAAAAAATATTTCCCCACACATTTAATTTGATTCTTCCACTACTCCTCTTCACCTTTAATCAGAACAAAGTAGGCTTATTAGTCAGGGACTTCTGATTCAGAATGTTTTTCCCATGTCCTTCAAGGATTATGCCATGAAGTTTTCTTATCAACACCACAAAATATTTTTTCCTGCTTTGGAAGAAGACCCAACTCTGGCTTCCATACCTTAGTGCTTTGATTCCTAAATCTGCTTTATACTTCCCATTCCTCAGAAGCAGGGACAATTTACTTCTATTCATTTTTGTATTAGATGTGGTCTAAACCTGAGTGTGTCATGTGTGTGTCTGGAGGAGATGAAGTGGAAGGAACCATAGTGATTGACATTTAAAGACTGTGCTAGGAACTTAGAATCCATTCGAAAATTACAAACTACTTAAGAGGGCAGTATGAAGGCAATGGATATATGAAGATGACACAAGGTCCTTGCCCTCATGGAGACTAGACTGCAGTGAGAGCGAGAGAACGAACACAATTACAGTACACTGGGCTAAGAGCACCAAGAATATGCACACAGGGAGGAGGAAGGTAGCCCGCCTTGGGACAGCGGGGAAGCTGCTAGCAGGAAGCAGTGCTTGAGTTGGAGTTAGCCATGCAAAGACGGTGGAAGAACAGCCTTCCAAGCGAGAACAGGCGTCCGGCTCCTACTGCATCCGGTGGATGGCGAGGACAAAGTAGCCCAGGTTCAGGAGGAGGACTGAGCCCAGGTGCGGGGTGAGACGCAGGGCTGAGACACAACCAGCCGCCCGAGATGCCTTCCACACCCGCTCCGGGAGCAGCCCGGTGGCCCGCCCTCTCAACGCCATGGGGCTTGACACTAGCCTTGTTCGTCGCACTAGCTTTCTTTGGCATCTTGGCGCCAGAAAAGGAAGCCCGGGTGCCCAGTCCCGCCCGAAGAGACTTAAACCGACCACCGAGCCGCACCATCCTTCTGGGAAGGTGCTGCTAAGAGGCCCGGCACCGGAAATGTGCTGTGCGCCTGCGCAAGCAGCATTGACAGGCGGCCTGACTACGGAAGGGCGCTCTGCGCCTAAATGCGTAGCGGGGATGGACCCGACGCCCCAGCCCTCGTCCAGCCCGAGAGCGACTCCTCGCGGCCGGCGGGAGACTCCTTGTCTCGAACCCGTGGGTCTGAGGTCTGATTGGGCCATGACCCTTTTCCCCTCGCTAGTGGGAAAGGCGCGTCACCTCTGGTCTTTGCTCACGAGGGGAAAGAGGAAGGTATCGCTGCTTCTCAAGATTGAAGTGTGCTTCCTGGAGAGCACGGAATCAGTGTCATCTCGTCTCTGCAGCCAACGCGCAAGGATAGACAGAGCTCACCTGCTTCCCAAGGCCACAGGTCGAGGGCTTGGCCTTTTCCATGCACTGAGAGTGCAGCTCCTTTGCGCCCAAGGCGGTTAGGATCCCTTGATGTAAAAGGAGAGGAAATATTCTATGACGCGTAATATGGCTACACATGAACTGGAAAAGTCAGAAACAAGATCATGGAGTCGTTCAAGGGGTTGAAGCTAGGGATTGGCACAACCCAGTTTACCTTAGAAAGACCATTGGCTGCAGTATGGCGAAAAACCAGAGGTAAGAAGAGCTACCACATAAATGGGATGTGGTGGCCTGAACCAAAATTAACTGCAGTGGGGTTATCTGACCTTTGTAAGGATCTTCAGAATTGACATGATCAGAACTTAGGAGAATGAGTGCATTGGGGAATGAAAGCAAAGAGTCAAGAAACCTGCCCAGGTTTAGGAGTGGAGTAACAAGTTTGAAAGTACAGGTTTGGACATAGTAAGTTTGAGATGATTATGGGATATCCAAGTAGAAATATCGAGATAATTAAATGGATGTAACTGAAATTTGAGAGGTCTGGGCTGATGCTGGCGATTTTGGAGTCCTCTGAGAATAAATGGTAACTGAAGCCATGGAAATGGATGAGAGACAGGCCCAGGATAGGACCCTAAGGGCAGGGAGAGAGGCCACCACAGTGTAAGGGCACCTAAGAGAAGTCAATGGTGATGAATACCACAACAAAGACATGTAAAATAAAGATTGTGTCCCCAAAATTTAAGGAAAAAGTGGTTCTGGTGACCCAGGCAGGAGCAGTTTCCTGACTTCACTGTGAAGGAATAACTGATGTTTGAAGGGCACACAAAATGTAGAGACTTAAGTTTTCAAACTATATGAGTTAACTATTTGAAGGTCGTTGATAGTGATGAGCCAGGAGGTTACCTCAGTTTCCTGACATGGTGGGGTCTGAACACAGGTAGGTTTGGTGGTAGAACTGGAAATTCTTCATACACACACACACACACACACACACACACGTTTTTTAGTTGTTGATGGACCTTTATTTTATTCATTCATTTATATGTGGTGCTGAAGACCAAATCCAGTGCTTCACACATGCTAAGCAAGTACTCTACCACTGAGCCACAACCCCAGCCCCTGGAAATTCTTTTATTAGATAAGGAACAGATAAGGAGGTGATAAAGGTGCAGAGAAGAACAGACTTAGAGGACTCTGGTAGAGCTGTCTGTTGAAACTTACCAGCAGTATTGTTGGTCTAGTTGAAGTTGTGAAAGAAAACTGGTGAAGGACTAATCACACAGAGACGCTCCAAGGAGAGAGGCATAAGCAGATTTATGGTCAGGCCAGATAGGCTGCTCTGTGCAGAGAGAGCAGCAGCAACTCCCACTTGGAGTATTACCTTTTATAGGCCAGAATCATGACCGCCCTCCTGTTAGGGGCAGGTTTAACCCTTGAGACTGGTATAGCAAGCATCACCTGATTTTGCAGAAAGCAAGTGACTGTTTCTTGAGAACAGAGAAAAGTATCTTTTTATCTCTTAAGGAGAAAACAGAGACTAGCAGATTTCTGTCTCTTGAGAATAAGAACAGTATTCATGAAGTGGGGGTGGGGAAATGAAGGTGGCTGTACTTATGCCAACAAGTTGGAGGTCATGACATCATTGAGGTCCCTATCTATCCAATCACATCATTTTATTGTACTTTTTTAGGTGGGGGGATGGGTACTAGAGATTTATCCCAGGGGCACTTTACTGTGAGCTACATCCCCATCCCTTTTTATTTTTTGAGACAGGATCTTGAAAAGTTGCTTAGGGCCTCACTAAATTGCTGAGGGTGATCTTAAACTTGTGATCCTCCTGCCTCAGACTTCCAAGTTGCTGGGATTACAGGTATGCACCACCAGGCCAGAGTTATTGTACTTTTGATGCTGGAGATTGAACCCAGAGCCTCATGCATGCCCTGCACACACTCTACCGTTAAGCTATACCTCCAGCCGCAGTTACATTATTTTAAATGCCTGGACTCAGCAGGTTGTATACAAAAGTTGAGGGTTAATAAAGTGGTTTAAGTGATTAAAGATCAAAGGTGAAGAAAAAGGAAAAAGAACAAATGCAGGTCTAACTGGGTAGGGAAAGTTAAGTCAAGGTGCTGCATACTTAAGGCTTAGTAACAGAACTGGAGAAGTATCCAAAGTTGTGATCAGAGTGGGACATCTGAATTTACAATTTCTGAGGTATAACATAACAAAGACATGGTGGGGTCATGAAAGGAATGGATGAAGATTGCTGTAAGGAAGGAAATGGAAAATTCGTCTTAGATGGATTGCCCATTTGGACACTGAGGCAACTCCACCTGAAGGTTTGGACAGAAGAAAGTGAGAGCAAGGTATAAAAACCATAACTCTTTCCTGTGAAATCTGTTGAGAGTTGAGGCACTCAACAGAGCATGACAGCACACACCTGTAATCCCAGCTACTCCGGATAAGGTAGGAGGATCACAAGTCTGAGGCCAGTCTGGACAATTGAGGGACACTTGTCTCAAAAGGGTGGGGGGAGGCTGGGGATGTAGCTCAGTGGTAGGGTACTTGCATAGCATAGGTTAGAGTTCAACCCTCAGTACTAACATGGGGAAAACTGAGGGGCACAGAGCAGAACCAGAATTACAATGCAGTCATTTATAGAATTTGTTTTAGACAAAATCCTGACCTCCTCAATTAGAACTTTGAAGGTTGTAATGGAAATAAAGGGGACACTTGTGTGATAGCAGATTATCAAAAGTATCTAGCAAGTGGCTAGGTGGGTGATGGGAAAAGTAAAGAGGTCCCTGCAGAGAGTGCCTTGAGTGGGGGTTTGAGGACTTTATCACACCAGCCAGGGAAAGGAGGAAATATCAGCCCCATTTGCTACCAGTTGTTCCTGCCCAAGTCTCTGCTTCTAGAGGGGACAAAGAGGGGCAGAGTGGGAAGAAATATTGTTTAACAGAGGAAAAAATGGGGATTATGATCCCAATGGCAGAAAATCCATATGTATTTATGCTGTTTTCATTTTATCTTCATCAATTTTGAGTTCCATTTAAAAACCTTCATTTTGTCTTAGCTTTACCAATGGAGAAAAAGGGGATTTTTTTGAAGGATGTAAATTAGCCAAGAGAATAAATGCTCCATGTATCTCTGGAGCTGGGATTGCTATGGTTCCCTCCCGTGAAGGGTGCTTTTTGTTAAATTCAAGGACAATTCCCAGATTTTGAATCTGTATAACTGGAAGACATAGAAAGCTGTTTGAAGACACTAGAAAGGGAAGTATATAACAAATAAATATCAGACATTCTAGGGGCTGTGGTTGTAGCTCAGTGGTACAGCACTTGCCTAGCACATGCGAGGCCCTGGGTTCAATCCTCAGCACCACATAAAAATAAATAAATAAAATAAAGGGGGCTGGGGGTGTGGCTCAAGTTGTAGCGCACTTGCCTAGCACACGTGAGGCACTGGGTTCGATCCTCAGCACCACATAAAAATAAAATTAAGGCAATATGTCCACCTAAAATTAAAATAAAGGTACTGTGTCACTACAACTAAAAAATAAAATAAAAATATCAGACATTCTGTAATATTCCACACTTTAAAGTCTTATTTTAACACTCTAGAAGAATTGTCTATCTAGAAGATCTTGATTCCCACCTCCTTTAAAACTACAGATAATACTATGTGGACCAAAAACATTTTGATAATGCAAATAATTCACCTTAATTTGTTGGGTAGATACTAGAATATCAACACTTTCTTAATATTTATATTCTACCCTAACTACAGATTGATCAGGAATTCTTTGGGGATGCAACATTTTCCTCCTCTGTAGCTTAGGGGATAGAAGTGAGCTTAAATTCCATCTAGTACTATTTACTGACCTTTTCAAACATTCATTTTTTTTCCTATGAAATGGGTATAGTAATCTTATTCTTACACTGATGCTGAGAAACAAGAATGTATTTTGTAAAGTAGCTGGCCTAGTGGTGCACACCTTTGATCCCAGCTATTTGGATGCTTCTCTGAGAAGGAAGGTCACAGATTTGATGCCAGCCCAGGTAATTTAAGGGAGATCCTGTCTCAAAATTTTTAAAACGGCTGGGGATATAGTTTGGTAGTAAAGCGTGCCTGGTTTCAATCTCCAGTACTACCAAAAAAATAAATAAAATAAAATAAAGTCCTTCAACAGGCTAAGTAACAACTCATATCACTATAATTAATAAACAATTGTGAGATGATTAGAACACTGTTAAGAAAAACAAGATTCTTTCTTCACATTCTTTGTTCTTTACTTCCTATTTTTTAAGTAGGGGAGAAAACCTGAGTTTACAAAAAAGTGACCAGAAGAATGGGAAGTTTTACTCCATATATGTATGATATGTCAAAATATAGTCTACTGTCATGTATAACTAAAAAAAAAAAAAAAAAAAAAAAAGTGACCAAGAAACAGATGGCAGTAATTGTTATGTAGTAGTTTCTGTGACTTGCATTTAGGCAGCAGTAAAAGCATTCCTATTTTGTCTTTCATTACTTCTGTAAATTAAAAGTTACAGTCAATTAATTAAAACTTTTGCTCCAAAATGGTGTCTAACATCAAATTTTAAAAGACAAATGACAAATAATAATAGTAAAATGTTAATAAACATTTTTATTTTTTAAAAATTCCAGGTGATGTCCCAATGTCAGTAAACTGTTCCATTTTTTGTACCAGCCCAGGCAGGCCTACATTCAGTTACAATAGTTCAGTACAACACATGAAGCATATGAAATGCTTCAAACATCAAAAACACTACCTTGTCTCTGGCATATCATACTTTTTAAGGCAGAAGTACTTTCTATAATCACTACTACAGATTGTTTCCCGGTTCATCTTTTGTTAACCAGAACTACACATCCCATAGGTATTCCAGTTAAGTGAAGTTTACATCCATAAGAACATGGTATCAAAGACAGAAAAATTTCCCTTTTCTTCAGTAATTTCAAGAGGCCTCAACAACCAACACACCTCACGACTTTCTTGAAAATAAAATATTACTTTTGATGAAAAATTTTATATCCTAATTATTTTTAAAAAATTCTTTTTAAGTTGATACTTAAAAGAATTTTAATTTTTAATCATCTTCCACAACTATCTGATATGCCTTAAGCTTAATGACACTTAAGTTTTTAATAAGATAATCACTTTCAGGGGAAAAATGTTATTTCATTTTTATTTTAAAATTCTGCTTTATATAAAAGTGTATAAATGTCATTCTGCCAAATATACTTCATATCCACTTCTAATATAGATGCTGCCAGTTAATGAAGTCACAAATATTAAACATATTTTACTTCTTGGATAGAATTATGTATGTGACAGAAAGCAGTAATCCTGTTGGATAGTTCTATAATTCCAAAGTAGTTGTTAGAAATGTTCATATTTTCTTCCATTTTTTACTGTAATGTGATTATCACAATGTTGAACTGATGTCTGTTTAACTGATCATCATCACCATCATCATCTCAATCTTGGGAATTATCAGCGGCATCCCCCCCATACAAATAGACAGGTACAGTGGTACAGTTTAGTGATAAAGAATTCAGTCTTAAGAGTATTCCTTTAGATCCTTTGTTTATATCACATTATTGTGAATTTATACAAACTCCCATTTATTGTTGTAAAACTGTACTATGTAATGCATTACTATACTATTACAAAATATCCTTTTCTGTAAATACATTGAAAAATTTTCTGGGCATTTATTAGACCTTATTTTTAGCATTATTCCAAATGCTAACAACCAGATATTTCAAAACCCCAAATATAAAGTCAGTTTTCTTAAATTTCTGAAATTAGTTACTTGAATGAAATTAGTTACTTGAGTTAATAGGAATTCTGTAGGAATATTGACCCACCTCATCTCCTTTAACCTTCAAAATAGTTAAAAACAGAAAAAAAACAAACCTGTTATAAATAACAAGAATCTTTCAATTCAAAACTATTGAAAGACCATAAGTTAGCTGATCTATGAAATTATACAAGATGAAGCTGAAATAGCTGAGCTTTTTTTTTTTTTTTAAACACAATTAAACCCAGTTATCTTTTCCCCTAAGGTGATAAGAAAACTGAAAATCTGCCTTTAAATCATGCAGAGCTTTAGATTAACATTTTTCTAATTTCTCTAAGAAACTAAACTGTTTCTTATTTTACAATTATAAATAATCATGACACTCAAACTCATTGTTTTGTGGTCAGGTGTTTCTACTTTGAGACTAGATTGCACGGTACTATTTAGCCAAGATGTATTATACTGCTAGATTATGTATAAAATATTATTTCTGGTATTTGTCCATCTTCTATTGAAGTGCCATTATTATTGCCAGGGGAACTGAAAAAGAAAAAAACAGTCTTGCTGGCAGCCGGTGTCTCATGGACTACTTTCTTCAATCCTTTTGTGCCATAGTGTGAATCTGGACCCTAAATGAGAATAAAAGACTTATTAGCAATTTTCACTAAATAAGCACTCAAGTTACTATGATGTTGTAATTAGATCAATGGTCTATAATATTCATTATAGCTCCTATATAAATTTTATGCTGAGGCATTTAATGAAAAATGAAGTTTTTCTAAAAAGCTAATCAATGAGCTCAGTCATTAGGGGAGTAGTGAAAAGGTTTAAGAAAACAATTACTGTATCTTCTGTCAAATATTCAGTTTCCTCAGATAAGGGGCTACTTTTTAAAAAGAACTTTTCTTTCAGGATACAATGGGGTGCTGAAAGGATACAATGAAGTGCTCCTTTACTTCTTAAAGGAGCTGGATATTTTAGCTCCCAGATACCTTCCTCTGTGTTCCCTCCTTCTCCTTCCGTATTCCTTCTAGGGGACTGAATCCAGGAGTACTCTGCCACAGAGCTAAATCCCTAGCTCTTTTATCTTGAGACAGGGTCTCACTAAGTTGCCCAGGCTTGCCTGGAACTTGAGATCTTTCTATCTTAGGTGTGCACCACCATGCCCAGTTCCCCACCCCCACTTTTTAAAAATTATTTTATTTATTTTTAATGTGATGCTGAGGATCGAACCCAGTGCCTCACACATGCTAGGCAAGTGCTCTGCCACTGAGCTACAGCCCCAGCCCTTTTACCCCTTTTCTTAACAGAGTCTACTGTCAGTGATTTTCAGCTTCTAAAACATTGTAAAACACACTCAAGCGTGAAACCATGAGCTACACCAGTGCAGCCTCAAGAACATTCTGAATGACACTTACTTTGAGTGTTGCACATGCTGTGTAGCATATGTTGGGCAGGATCTCTATAGGTTCTTTGAACATGACCCTGAATGTGTTAGCAGTCCCATCACAACTAAATCCAGTATCATTTTGTCCGAGGGTTTGTTTTTTTTCATATTCAATGATCTGTAATTTTTAAAAGAGAAGTTATGTTTAAGTTAAAGTTATGTTTAAGCTTTGTAGAAAAGAACATGAAGCCTTTAGAGTAGCAGAACAGACCATTAAACCTCTGTTCTAGTCCTTCTCTACTTAACCTCTAACCACCAATGATGGTTTTTAAGCATGCTGTCAGAAAATGGCTGTTTATTATTCATCACATTAAGGATGAGGAGAATGTTGATTAACTGGGGCTGGTTATAGGAGAGGGGGTCTTTCATAAAAGATACACACACAGCTTGGTATGCAGATTTTTAGAATATGTTAATTTTAGATGTCTGAGGGAAATGAGCCTTTACTTCTGGCTAACCTGTGTCCCTAGGAAAATTCCTTTAGCATTTTCTGTTTCAGAGTTATTTATTGAAATCAAAGTTTAAATGACCTTAAATGAAGTATCAAGTTTGTGAATGTTCAAAATGTAAACATTTTGTCCCTTCAATTTCATTCTATCAGCTGTGCCAAGCACTGTGCAAGGCATCAAGTATGCTTTCTGGGAGCTTCAGGGTACAGCCAATTCAGAAAGAGCCATGCAGAATTCAAAGTGGCCAAACAGAGGAAAAACTGCTTCTGTTCAAGAGGGGAAACTCCATGGAGCAGATTCTAAAAACCCAAGTCAGAGCTTACCAGGTATGAGCAAGGGTTTCCACACATGAGAACAGCAAGTGCAGAACAGCCCTTGAAAATCTGCCTTTCTGCATATGGTAGATGAAACCAGTAATAATGAAATAGGCAAAATTCGATCTATGTGATGGGAGATCAGGACAATAGGCACTCTGCAGGGAGATGAACCGGGGGAGATCATGAGGAGGCCCCAGGTGCGGTAATGTTCTGTTCCTTGATCAGATACTGGTCACACAGGTATGTACAGTTTGTAAAAACTGTGCCATTTATGCCCCTTATAAACACAAACACTTTTCTGTGTGTTTATCACAGTTCAATAAAAAACTGAAATTAAAAAACAAAAACAAAGACATGATATGATAGTGCCTGGGAAAAAAGCAGTAAGACACAAGACCTGGCTTTTTCAGTGCAGTCTAGAACAAACCAGTTTACTTCTCTGAGCTTTGGTTTTATCCATTCATTTGGGAAAACCTTGCTTTACCTAATTACAAAACAACAGCAACAACATGTTATTGCAATGACCACATCACTTTACAGGTATCATCTCAAAGAGTCTTCCCCAAACTGTAAAGTATTTATCATAACTTTATTGTCGGGCTGCGGGTTGTAGCTCAGTGGTAGAGTGCTCGCCTAGCATGCACAAGGCATGAGTTTGATCCTCAGCACCACATAAATGTAAAAATGGACACATTTTAATGTGTCCACCTAAAACTTAAGAATAAATATTAAAAAAATAATAATAACTTTGTTGTCAAATCTGATGAGCAAATGGAAAGATCTGTCCATATCACACCTTGTAGGCGAGAGAGGTAAGAGTCAAACCCAGGCAGTTCTAACTGACTTCAAAGCTAATTCATGAGCTGGGGATATAACTCAGTGGGGAAACATTTGCACATCATGTGAAAGGTCCTGGATTCAATCTCTAAAACCACCCAAAACAGGACAACAAGAAATTCACGTAACCTTTTTATCTCCTATAAAATGAAGACAAAGATCTCTTGAAAATGTCAATTCATTAAGCAATAATAATAAAGTGTCATTTATTAGTAGTACATGGATATATTTTCAACACATGCTTGCAACTATTTCCATGAACCTACTTACAGACTTGCTGTTCCAAAAGCTGTCTATTGGACTACTAGAAGTTGAGATGCAGTGAGAGAGACTTTAAATGACATAACTTTAACAGTCCTAGAAACTTAGTATCTTTCCTTAATGGTCCACAGAGTCAATATATTGTATAAGCCAATAATATAGTGTATGTGGGTCAATGGGTTTTAAAATCTTCCAAACCAACATGTCCTCACTGCTATGTTTAACACAAAGTTAACACAAGACTTTGGTACTTTTATCTAGTATTCTGAACTGATCCAAAGCTGTGTTTTAGGGTTGGAGTATACTCAATGTTAGAGCACTTTAGAATGAACAAAGCCCTGGGTTTGATCTTCATCACTGTAAAAGAATACTGCCAAAGGTGTGTTTTAAGAAGTACATGGCTCTCCTTTTGAAGTGTAAGGTAAAGTGCCTCTCCACAAAACAAACATGTGAAGACAACTAACTTCTACAACAAAATGCCATCAGTTATGTCCATACCTTCTACTTAACAGTTCATACTATTCTTTCAATACCTCATCTCTGGGAATAAGGACCCAGGATAGGTATTATGAAAATGCCCCTAGGTGTTTCTATTATATACTCCTGTTTCAAACTTACTAATATAGAAGAAACATACTGATTTAGAGGAATGGGCCTTGCCTACAAAGTTAAGGCAAAGATTGTAAATTGGTTAAGAACCAGAATTTAGTTTCAGACTAGCTTTGTTTGGCCTTCATGGTGTGAGTGTTTGTAAAGATTTTAAATTATTATTATTATTATTATTTTTTTTTTTTTTTTTTTAGAGAGAGAGAGAGAGAGAGAATTTTAATATTTATTTTTAGTTTTTCGGCGGACACAACATCTTTGTATGTGGTGCTGAGGATCGAACCCGGGCCGCATGCATGCCAGGCGAGCGTGCTACCGCTTGAGCCACTTTCCCTGCCCTTAAATTATTGATTAACACTAAAAATGGAAGATGGAGATTTCATATAAAAATCCACACTTCTGGCTTCTTAGCATCCTCAGGCTTTTATTATCACATTGCAACTACTAATAGGAACTAAGTAGTGTTTTAAACAATTCATTTCCCTGCTTATCCCTGTTAGCTCTTGTACCAGGCCAGCTGTCTCCACTAAAATTATCTGCCCAAGCCCTGGAGGCATTTGTTTGCCACTTCTGTCACAAAGCAATAGGGAATTAGAAGTAGTGTTTCTAGTACAGAAGACTAGCTACAGGGTTAAGAAAATAAAGAGAACTTCCATTTCTAGTAATTTTATTCATAGTATTTAGACTTCATCATTTTAATATACCTATAACCCAAACACCCTGGTGAGGTGTGAGGTGTCTGGTATCTTAGGTAATACATGAAGTATGCTAAAGGGAGGATGGGGTTTTAGAATCAAAGAGACTCACAGTGGAGCCCTGGCTCCCCTTGCTCCTGCCCACCCCACCACCCCAGGCCTGCAGATTATCCAATCTGCTAAACTGGGCTTAGGGATTCTACTAGACAGGCTCTTAAGACTTCATAATGTATATAATGTGCAATGGGGAATAAATGCAAAAATCTTTTTTTTTTTTTAATACTCTTCAAAGATTTGCTGAGGCTTTTCTGTACTTAAACATCATGGAATTAAGCTGGATGTGGTGACACACACCTGGAATCCCATTTAATTGGGAGGCTGAAATGGGAGAATCACAAATTCTCAGTAGCCTCAGCAACTTAGCAAGATTCTATTTCAAAATAAAAAAGGGCCAAGATGCAGCTTAGTGGTAGAGTTCCACTAAATTTGATACTTGTACTGCAAAACAAAAACAAAAAAAACACCATGGAAATTACTTTTCTAACCTGTTGAAAAACCTTACAAATAAATAATTCAGTGAGTCTAAAACCTGTTTATTAAAAAATATAACTTTCTAACTGGTATGTGACAACAACAAATTCACATGAATGATATAAATTTATCAAGTGAAGTTCATTAGAAACCTTAGTGGATAGGATTAGAAAATGAGTATAATGATTTGGTTAGTACAGTGACTAATGCAATCTTCCATTTGAAGCAAGGTCTGTCTCTTTTGAGGGTGTGAGGTATCATTTTTAGCTGTCACTGAACCAGATCTTTGAACTGTTATAGTCACAAAGTATAAAGCTAGTATTTTAAAAGCCAATAATGCATTCTGATCACAAAGTTTACCAAAGTTTTTACTATGAAAAATGACGCTAGTAACATTTCAGAGAGGGCAGAAATTTTCTATTGATAAACAAGAGTTGAAACATTTTTTACTTCCTTTTCTTATATTCTGTTTTCATTTATGTATACAAAATCCAGTACTGCCTATTAGTTTGCAAATATGTTTTCAAAAATAATCTTGCTAAAAGGGGTATGGAATCAAAAGAACACTGGTTTATTAATAAGATACGGGAAGAAAGAGGTATTTTCCAGATTAGGTAATAGTGCCCTGTCTGAAAGAATCAAGTATAGTAGACCTAAAGAATGAGGGAGGGTCTGATAAGTGAAGAGGTGTTCATAGTAGCTGGAAGTAATGAGATAGTTTCAAGGCCCTAAAGTTCAAAATATCACGAAAAAAGCAGAAAGACATTTTAAGACAGTTAATGCACAGCAGGAAGTACTAATGGGTTTCCTGGACAAAGGAGCGCTCCTGTTAACATTAAATGCTTCAATGAAGGACCTTTATTTTTTTGAAACCAGATTTTTTAGAACAACTGTAAAATAAATCTCTAGGCTAAAAATGCTAATAATGGGCTTTCTAATTCCTTTGATAATCGTTCTAAAATCTGGACTCCTGCCAAGAGAATATTTTACTGTAAGATTACATGTTTGTTACATTTCAAAATGATAAATTATGGAGGGAAATAGTACCTGTATATTCACTTGATAATCCGTGGGACCATGAATAGATCCATATAAGCCAAATCCAACTATAGAGATTCTTCTATTAACTGTGAACCTACGAGGGAGAAACCGAATATAAAATAACAATTCTGTAAGTGTTCTTATTCTGAAGGTTTATAATTTTTTCAAGTGTTACTTGGAACATCTAGTTTTGCTTATAAAAAGGAAAACTATCACAAGTTGATTATCTTCGGAAATAACGTGTTTACTTAAAACAAACCAATAATAACAACAACAAAAAAATCTTTCTGGAATATGAATTTAACAGGATCTTAAGCAGAATCTGAAGCCCCAGCATTCCAAACTAGGACAATTATCTCAATAAATATTTACTGAGGGCCTACTGTATTTAGGTTCTGGGCTTGGCAACGGGGAATAATGGTCAACAGCACACAGCTTCTATACCTATTGGCTTTGTGGCCTAATAAGCAATCATTATAAATTGTGGTTAAGAGTTATGAAGGAAGCAGGCTGCTGTAACAAATAATTCTGATAGTAGAGGGGCTGGAGACAGGACCTAATTCAAACAGGTGGATTTGAATAAGGATTCCATACCTATAATAATTAGCAATTATTAGCAGTTTGATCCTAAGTGTCAGTTTTTATACATTTATAAAATGAAGTAATTAATATTTCTTATTAATTTTTCTTAACTAAGTACATATGGAACTGAGATAATCTGTGATTCAAAACAAGTAATTCTCAACATTTTCAGCCACAATTTCCATTATCATTACTACCAGCATACCAGCACCACTTAATGAGTACTTCCTAATATACCAGGCCCCGAGTTTCAGCTCTTACAATACTTACTTCCTATAATCATCCTAACAGCTCTATACAACACTAGCTTCCTGTACTATTTTTATTATCCTAAATTCCTGAGGCTAAAGAAACAGATTTTAGCCATGTTAGGTGACACACACTTGTAGTCCCACTCACATGGAAGGCCGAGGTAAAAGGATTGTTTGGTCCTACAAGTTTGACACCATTCTAGAC